AGAGAGAGAGAGAGAGAGAGAGAGAGAGAGAGAGAGAGAGAGAGAGAGAGAGAGATAAAGCTTGGGAGATATAAAGAGAGATATATACACAGAGAAAGAGAGTAAAAGAACAGATAGAGATAGAGCTAGATAAATATATGTAAAGAAAAAAACGTGTGATAGATGAACGATAGATAGATAGAGAGAGAATGGATACAGACAGAATAAATGGAATGGGAGAAAGACTCGTTCGATTCATCCTGACTTTATCCATTATTTCTCTATCGATCTATCTTTCATCTATCACTCGTCTTTGTCTCATTCCATTTATCCTGAAAGAGACGGTAAAAGAAAATAGGTAAAATAATATGATATGCCATGCTTAGGTATATATATATATATATATAGATTGTTTGATGGTATCGTAGAGCTGTAGTGAGAGAGAGATAAAAACTAAAGAGATACACTCAAGGATATATTCTAGGATTGCTTGACAATTAGACGCAGATAGTAAGAGAGTGTGAGAGAGAGAGAGAGTGAAAGAAAAAGCTTTCAAAATGATTACAAAAATAATTGAATTAAGACTTGAAGGCAGAAGAGGAAAGCCTTTTGCTTATGAAGCATCGACTTGAGCAGAGGCATTATGAATTATCTGGCAGCACTTCAGATTTCAGTTTTCAGTTCCAGCGAATTGCGCACAGTAATCAGCATCTGCATCTGCCGCTGCCACTGCAACTGCAACTGGGCCGCTTTCCATGTGGATGCCGCTGCTGTTGCAGTTCGCCTTTTGCCTTTTGCCATATGGCCAAAGCGCTGTCGCCGTCGTCGCAACCCATTGAACACGCAAGGCCTATAAATTATGCAGTTTCCTACTTATATAGTATGCACCTCTATATATATATATGTGAATATGAATATATAGTTATACATTTATGAAGCTGTGGAACTTATGTGCATATATGTATGTAGATATACATACATATATCTATTATCGAAGCGCTGCAAATTGTATAACTCGAGCGAATTTCAGCACTCACCAATGAGCTGCTCCCTAGCTCATCTTGTCTAACTGCATTAGTTGCCAAACACACACACAAGCACACACACACACACACGCACACACATTCGAAAATAGGCTCTTTTCGGGGCACAAAGCAAAGAGCTACCGGATAAAAGAAATGGATCACCTGCTGCTGGCAGCTCCACGCTTGACGTTGACGTCGGCGTCGACAGTGGCAGCGACAGCGACAGCAACAGCGACAGCGGTGGCAGGTGCAACAGGCAACAGGCAATGCAACATTGGGGCAATGTCTGCGATGGCGGCGCGAATGGCAACTGCAGCACCTAGCGCATGTTGAATGCATAAATCTTGAATTAATGCAAAATACCTTTTGATGACGCTGCGAGATACACACACAAACACACGCACACACACGCACACACACACTCGCCGTCTGAGATACAGATACAAATGTATCTCTTAGCGCAAAACGTTGTGCAACATTGCGAATACAATTCCATTCACAGTTTCTTTCGCTTGCCGCGGGCCGGCGATCGCAGCTCGTTACGGCTCAGTAAATTTGGACGTCCTATTCAGTGTAGGCCCCCACTTTAGCTCCACTCCGTCCGCGGCCCGACCCTCAAGCCCCGTTATATTTACCTAGCCGGCTAGTTTATAAATCTTTTGAAGGGCCCTAGCGAAGAGATTTGCTGGCAACGCGCAAAAACGGCAAAGTAAATAAACACAAAATGCAAAATATTTATATATACATACATACATATACATATATATATATATGTATATGTATAGAAATAAAAATAAATATAAGTAAAAACAAAAGAGAAGAACAAAAAGTAAACGAACATAGAAAGAAATAACTAAATAAATGCCCTGCTATTAATACAATTCACTTTGCCAATGTATTTTTAGTGCAAAAACAGAAACAAGTGAGAGTCGCAGCGTTATGCTAGTGGCAGGACCCATGAATACCCTGTAAAGTACTTTTAATTATTATTTGTGTAAATTATTGCATTTAACTTTATTTAATTTAATATATATATTTTTTTTATTTTTATTAGGGTTTTGTTATTATTATTTTTTAAATAAAATTTGTTACCTTTATATTTTTAATTTTAAAAATATATTTATAATTTAATTTAATTTTTTTTTTAATTTTTTTATTACGTTTTTTATTAAGTTTTTGTTAAATCAAATTTGTTACCTTTATATTTTTAATTTTTAAAAAATATTTTTATTTATTTTGTTTTTCTTTGAAACATATAGTTTTAATATTTTTTTATATATTTAAAATTGTTTGCTCTTGTGTTATTGTTAACAAAATTATTCAATATTTGATTTTAAAATTTTAAAATTTTTTAATTTTTTTTTTTAACCCTTTGGTTTTTTTTCAGAAAAAAAATTTTATTTTTTTTTTTTTTTTTTTTTTTTTTTTTTTAGAAATAAATATGTTATTTTATCACTAAAATTTAATTCATAGGAAGTCAATACTTTAGAAATATTCCCACACTTAATTTAATATCAAATAGTTCGACATTTGTCTCACTCGCTTTACAGGGTATATAAAATGAGCTACGACTGGCATGCGACTTCGACAATTATCTATTACAACTGACACGCGGGTCCAAAAAAAAAAAAAAGAAGAAGAAAAAACTAAAAACACAAAAAAAGAAGTGAGAGCCATGCAATCGGCACTAACCGACTATAAAATGCTCGATCAGGGTGCAAATATTCATAATTTTCACTCATAAAATTATTTTAATTGAAGTAGATTCAAGTTCTTAATCTAATGAGGATATTAATTATATGAGGAAATTTCCACAGCTTTTGCTCAAGCTTCCAGCCTACATAATCGTCTTTACAATATGTTTTAGCTACTCTATAAATTCAGTAATCTCGTATTAGTCAGGCTCCACTGGGCTGGGTTGGTTTCCGATCAGAGATGCCCACACATCAAGACTTTACCGCCAAAAATAGATATACTCTCTTTACTGTTTCGAAGGAGTATTCAAAATATAAATAAATATAAAAAGAAAAATACAACTCGTTTGCGGTTTTCTTCTCGTCGTCGTTGTCGCTGTTGTCTCCGCTGATGTTGTCGTCGGCTCTGGCTAAGTCCATGGACCCCCTCCGCCAGCTGCACGGGCCATCGCATCATTTAACGCGTGTGGCGGGCCCAAAAAAACACAGAAAAACAAAAGCAGAAACAGAAGTCGAAAAAAAAAACAGACAACGGCAACAAATGCAACTGCAACAAACTGCAATGAGCAACTGCAATTGGAAATGCAATTGCACTCGCTGCTCTTTTCGTAATTGTCGTTTTGTTCTTGTCTATGCTCGCTTGTAATTGTGGCTTTGTTACGTTTCGTAAATTGATTCATTGTACACGGCCGTCGTCGCCCTTTCAGCCGCCCCGTGGCCCCCGCCTCTTGTGCCTCTCTCGCTACCGTCCGGCGGATCGGACGGCCAT